TCGCACGTTAGTTGTAGAAGAACTCGCTGTCAGAAGAAGAATTTGATTTTAGCAAGCTGACGCAACAAGCAAGACGGATCGGATCAATCTACCATTCGAACGATTGTGGAGTGTTTGCTTTATCTACTCTTAGAGATAGAGTTGCGAGAGCACATGAAAGAGCCAGGAAACTGATCTTTGAACCTAGAATGCGCGTGTTTCGGTGGTCCTTTGCAGGAAGGAGCAGGATCTCCTACTGAACCTAATCACGCTGTGGATCAATGTAGGTTTGCACTGTGTATTATTAACCAATGAACATCAAAAATCTTAGTTGTTAAGCTTCAAAATTGTATAAAGAACTCAAGCTTTCGATTGCCATCGATTTCACCGTACAGATTCAACACATGTTACCGTTCAGCACAATCCACCAGGCACGTCTGCTGACAATTAGTAGAATGGCACTTGAAGGCAACGTCTACCCAAAGCGGGGGTTGACGAGATATGATGGCACACCAGGTGTGGGCCCTCACACTAGGCAAACCCCAAGTTTTGCCGCAAAAGGTTGCTTCCGAAGCGAGAAATCCGCTCTGGAAGGGACGTAATCTGGAGCTGGTCACTTCGCCCAGCTGGTCACCCCGCTCACTTTGCAGGTTTCCCTGCCGCACTGTTGCAGATATCAAGCACAGCGCAGTACACTGACCCGTTGTAGGCGGGTAATCTTAGCTTTTTCGTAATGTTTTTCGTATATTAGTCATTCTTAACCGCTCATATGTGAAAACTATTTTCTAATCATGACCAAATTTGCGACAAAGTTGTTTCCCGGTTGCAGCTGTCATCAGTATCCGGCATAGTTTCTTGATGTGAACATGATCTTTATTTATAGGTGACACTTGTACTCAATGAGATTGTTGTTGTATTAACTTGTCTTATTTTCTGTATTTGCTCCTGTATTATCGTTCATCTTTGTTTGCAGCAGACTAGGAAAGATCCCTTCATGCTGTCGCTGAGTTTTGTAATGGTTGTACTTGAGAATGCTTAAAGTAATTCTAATATTTTCTTTTTTTTTGGTCGCTGCAACTTCCTACTAGAAAATTGGGCAGATTGCAGATATAAGTGAACATCTGTTTTGAATCTCTTTGTCACCAAAGTATTGTTTTCCGTGAACTTTTTCAGGTTTGGAGTGCACCTAGTTTACAAGTTATATAGCACCAGACGAAAGTGCTGCGAAGCGGCTGGTTTAGTGTGGAATGGGATGTGCGCCAAAGTTTGATGTCATTTCTCAGCCGAAAGTAGTGCGCTATATTCCATAAATATTTGCCGCTGGCAAGAACTTCAATAAGTGAAGTTTTGATAAGACCTACGGTTTGTTTCCCATAGATTATAAATAAAACTTAACAGGGTGACGGTTTCGCTTATCGCAGTCTTGAGACCACATGTAGCTGTCGCAAGGAAGGACATGAGATTTGAATTTGTCACCTTGCTCTTCATGGTGAGAAGCTCTTATTGTTAGTGTTTGAAATGGAACCTGGGCGCAGCTGGAATGAATTGAGAGTTTGCTCCTTTTAACTCCTTGGATGAAAATAAAGAACCCCTTTGCATGAATGAACGAAAGCTTCCCTCTCCCTTCCGGCTCCCCTATCTCCCGGTCCCTACTCTCAAAGCTATTTAGCAAAACTTCTTTTTCTTTTGGAAGGGCTTGACTAAAGTGCCCAGAATTTCCGCATGCACTTATTCTACTTTTAACTATGCTTAGTCATCCCATCTTTGGCATGGGGCAGACTTCACGCGATTTGATGGTTGCGATTCATCGCTCAAAACAAGTGTTACAGTTCATGGCATGCCGATCTTCTTGTAATTCGGTTGTGATAGTTTGTCACGATTGGTCGTGTTGGAAAACTATCACAACTGAAATGCAAGAAGATCGGCATGCAATGATATTGTTACAGTTGTCTTGTCGCGATCAATCGCGTGAACTCTCTCCGAGGCCTTTGACGTTTCAGATCGAAGTATCGTTGAAGCCTAGTAAGGTGGCCTTGTCTCTCCAACTCTTCCTTAGCTATTTCACTACTTTATTCTCTCCAGTGATCTTCAAACACAGAAAAGCATCACGTTGTCAGTAAAGCTCGTAGACTTGTAATAACTTTTTTTTGACAGATCTCCGCAGAAGAAAATAAAAGCCCTTGCGGACTGCACCTACCTCCCTCCCCCTCACATCCTCTTCCCATCTATTCAGGCTAAGTAGTCGTAATGAAAACCATTAAGGAACTTTTCCTGATTTTTTGAATGCTTTTTCTGCTGGAACCTCCCAACTCGTGATATCTACCATTTCTAGCAAAGCCCGATTTTCCCTTCAGACGTCAAAAACCAACCTTCTAAGCCAAACTATTCTCCATGCTTTTCTGAATCTCAACTTCTCCTTCTCGCCCCTTTTGACATGCCTTATTCGAAAGTCAGTTATATAGCGGCTGTTATACCTGAAATTCTTGGCATTTGGATCACAATGGTTTGAACCTACCTGCTTCTCCGGAGTGCTCAATGGCACCTTGGGGAACTGTAAAAGCTTCTCGCAATCTCAAACCCTCTGCCGTATGGCGTGAAGGTTCTAATCGATGATGCTACCAATTGGCTAGATTTAGCTACTTGATGATTGCACTTTGTTGGTTTGGGGCAGGGCCCGGCACCGTTGGTTTGAGGTCAAACTGGACTTCGTTTTTTGGGGGTTAAAATCAAAGGGGAGTCGTTTTTGCGGGTACTGGAGGGAGCACCGAAAAAAATCACAAACATGTCAGATTTTACAAGTTGAACGCGTTTTTCGCTAGCGCGCGAATTCGAACGCAAGACTCAAACAAACAAATGGCTTGTTTAAACCGGACAAACAATCACATGGCACCGAATTTGGGCTATTTGCATATAATATCACTCCAAACGATATTATGTAAAAACTTTCAAAAACTTATGTCTCCTAATGTACGTTCCCGAATTTGTTGGTTTCTAAACCAACACCAAACCAACTAGGTTGGTTCGGAGCATAAATATTGAAGAGTTCACTTAAGTTTTGGACCTTTTTGATTTGGACGATTAAAACGCTCAATCTATAATATAGTGAGCAGAGCGAATCAAACCATTGCCTCTCCGCTTTTTTGAGCCAATTAGCATAAACCTACGCGCTGATAGATATCGCGCTCAAATCATATGCGTCATCATCCTTTGAACTGTGCGGCGAAAAATGAATCGCCAAGTTGTTGAGGCTACAGATTTGGTTGGCCTAAGAGGTTTTCAACATTCTGAACGCTAAAATGGTACCATACTCAAAAATTAAATCGACTCAGAATGTTTTTTTTTGCTTTTTTGTTATATTAGGCGCCTCAAAACTCGCTTTTTTCGCTTTTTTTGCCGTTATGTTGATTGAATGGCTTCCCTGCGAATTCTGATGTCAAAGGGAACTTCGTAAAATTTCGCCAAGTCATGGGGGACTTCGTATCCAAAAATGCTCCAAATCAACGCGTGCCGGGCCCTGGTTTGGGGTCTCGATCTACACCATCTAAAACAGGCTTCAAAAATATGATGAGTCATCAGCTCGGTACGCCTGCACCTGCACGCAACGACAACGTTGTTGACGTCTCCAACCCATCGCTGCACGAGTAGGGGGAGGGGGTGTGCATGTTACAGAATAGCGCTCAGTCATCCTGCGCTTTATTATAGAGAGGCTTGATGGAGTATTCAAGATTGCGCACGGATTATCTGCTTATTTATGTACTCCGGGAAAATTCTGCTCTACGAAACAATTGTTCTTCAAACACCATGACATCTCATAGGTATTACTTAGAGAACAAGTGGTTACACACGGTCATGAAAAGTCAGTCTGCTTACTGAATTGTTCCATGCATACCTCAACAGGTGAGCAGAATTTGTAAAATCTTGTGCAAAGACTTGTTTATTATGTACAGAGATGGAAATGATGGCGAATGGAATGTTGGAATAGTTACTATGTACTACATGTACATGGAACTCTGCTACATGCGGGTAACAACACGATGATCGTAGTCAACACACAATGCTGTTCTAAGCTTTCGGCTTCCCACCATATTTTGAAGTTTGTATATTTGTAGGTACACAGGGCATCATACTGTTACGTGAGATAAGTGTTATGGACTACAAAAGAGGAATGTCCCGCTTTGTGTTGAGCTCGAGCCTACATGGGGATTTTCGTCTTTATATAGTGCATTGTTGATACATATGCTATGTAGTATATGTTGATCTAGCACTTGTTTTTTCTGGTCTATGCTCATTTGAGAACTGGATAAAATACTGCAAAAGATTTCTTATCACATTGTACATGACTAGAAAAATAAAGCGTTCAGCCAGAAACTGATGGTGACGCCAGCCGAAATCAGCTACTACGCCGTGGTAGCTGATTCCGGCTGGCATCTGCGCCATTCTCGCACCAGACCGGCTGGCGAGCGGCCGGTGGCCAGCTCGGCCAGAACTGAGGTCGTTAGCCGGTCGTTGCCCGGTCACCAGCCGGTAAATATATCTGAGGATGATAGCCTCTCCATGCTGCTCGCGGAATGAGGATCATGTGTGCATTCGCGCGTCTCCTTTCTTTATTGCGCTTTCATACATTGATTTCTGCGTTCTCCAAGAATAAAGTATTTTAGGTGGAAGCGACATCTTTCCATTTCACGAAAAAATTGGACAGATGGCTACATTGGCCTTCAACAAGCAGAGCCACAACGGACTCGAGTCCAATATCCAATAGAAATCTCAAGATTACAACAAGAATTTTGATCAGCACCATGTGACGACGAAATAAAGAATCACCTTTCCAGTGATCGAGCTAAAAGTAACATGAAACGCACATGAGAAAACACAAAATGGTATTTGTACCTGCAGATATGTCATCGACAAGATTGATGTGATATAATTTCAGAAATTGAAAATTTTGACACAAGTGCATGCATCTTCGCGGATGACAGAAAACCATGCTTATCAAAATCACTCGAAGCTCACCCACGGATTTGTCATGGCAAAATATTCGGAGCAAAAATCAAAGCCAGTATGAATTCACATTGTACTGAGCAAGGTATGTTGTGGTAGATAAAAAACTCAGATGTTCCTGAAAGATTTTTTGAATCATAAAATGCGGTTCAGATTTCAGAAGTTTCTGAACTTTTTACAAGGAACCCAAAAAGCCGTTGGTACCACGCAAAAGAGCACAGCCGAAAACGGTATATGATCCAAAAGAATGGAAATCGATGTCAATTTCAGGAATGTTTTTGCGCCTTCGCACATTTGTCTGCTACTTCCGCTCAATAGCTAACCGACGTACAAATATACATAACAGTAGTTCGAAACATGTATAAGCAATAAATCAAATGTATGTCAAATGTGCTCTGCTTAAACAGGCGTTTCCGCATATAGCGGGCGTGGCCCCGCAGACGTTTAAACACGTTACTTGTTGAACTTCAACTTTAGAGCATAGGTTTTTGTAATCTCTAGCTACTAAAAACTGCACCGCGCATGCGTTGGCAAACGTCGGCAAAGCTCCGCCCGCTATACTGTGGGGAATCACAGATAGATACCTCAACGATACCATTCATAGTATACAACAATTAAAAGATAGCAAGATGACAGCTCATCTAATGTCGACCAACTTTCAAGAACACTGCGGTTGCTGTCGAACACAAAAGATGCAATATAGGAAGGTAAAACGATAGCCAAGAGCAAAATGAGTGAAGACAATCATAGATGTGCGTTTCCAAAGAAGTAATGAAGGTTTTGTTGCATCGAAGAAGATCAATGGATATAATGTCAACAGACGTGAACATGTTTACTTGGCGTCTGGTTGTTGTCCGCATGCGATGTGATGTCTAAGAATTATACCTACTTAAGCTATTTGGACAAGAAGTCTGCAACATTGACGAAGCTTACATGCGTTCTTTGCAAGAACAAAACTGACGAGCAAATCTCAGCGCTAAAAGCCAGATCAACACTGCAATTCTCCTACCGACACTCAAAGCTTACGCATCAAGCACATATCAATCAGTCGACGAGGATTTTGCTGCAATCAGCGTGAAGAGACATTGCATATACATCCATCATTACATAGACGCCGTGAGTTTCAAGGTATTCGCTTGAAAAAATACGGACGTGCGAAAATGCAGGCGCAATATCTCCTACAAGTAGTCTTGGCGAGTGGCGGGAGGTTGTCCACTACGGAAAACTTATGTTGTCTGAACGAGGGCGACATCCCTGCAGACATTCCAGCACATCTGAATGACGCCATAAAAACTTTTTCAGTTAGTTTTTACATGGTTTTGTCCCAACACATATACTAGGGCGATCTCACGGTAACGAATCCCAATCTTAACCGTTACCTAAATGTCTATGTCGGAAAATACTACGACCGGAACGACAGCTGGCACATGCCTGGACCATGCCGATCCCTGTTTCTTCACGTTGCCTCCATTGCCATAGAATTAACCGCATCATTATTTTTAGAAGGTAAAAAAGGTAACAATATCTGCCGGAGAGAGAGGTTGTTCAATGTATGCTGAAATGTGGTAAAACCTGGACCACAGGGTGGATCGAAAACCCTTACCACACCTGGAGGAAAACGACCACTGTTTTTGAGGTTGCCTCCATTGTCATAGGATTAACACTTCATTATGTTTTAGAAGGTAAAAAAGGAAACAATTCCTGCTGAAGAAGCTGGTTCTTCGATGGATGTTGAAATGGTGGCAAAAGCTGGATCACAGGTAGGTCAAAAAATCCTAGCAAATCTGTCGCAGTATCCCCGCCCAGAACAGTTTCCAGCACGCCGTCAGCAAAGCACACCGAGTCGGATCGTCGGGCAGAACTACGGTCACAATTCCAGCGCTGGTGGTTGAGTACCAAGCTAAGCTGAACTAATTACACTTCTGTTTCAGACTGGCTCCTGTTTTTTCCCGAAAGCTGCCTGAATCCGATAGTGTCTAGTTTTTGAACGCACCTCAAGCGGTGCCCAGAGGATTCCAAATCCAATACTTCGAAGCGGTAAACATTCACTTGCGTTGTTGAATTAATGTTCAATCATAATCGACTTTTGAAGGTTACAAAGTCCGAAGGTTTACTGGTGTAAAATGAAGACCTTTGAAAAAATCTTTATAGTTATTTGTACGCCAGTGGAAGAAGCCGAAAATCTTTGTTGATGGGTTGGAAATTCTAACGATTATCCGAGTGGCCAACGAAGATCTCGGATCAAAAACAAAACTGCTAGAAAGAGGAGGAAATCATCGAACACTGTTTAGAGCGTTTGTTTATCTACCTTTTGAAGGGTTTCAGGATGGGTCTGAAAAACGGCACGAACTTTCGGACCGACCTAATATTATTAGGTGGGAGACTAAGTTTTGCAACTCGATCAATAACTTTCCTCTCTTTGAATGGGACGCACTCAAATTTTGCCATTGTGTAGGCTATGTAAGCTACAAAGCCTGTTCCGACAAATTTTGACGTCGCAGTGAGGATTACGGTAGGTATGCGGTATGAGGGAAAATGCAGAATTTGACAGATTTGGCGAAACTTGGCATAGGGAGGTTATCCGAGATGCTGTCCACGAAAACGATATTGAAGCTGGTGAGGATTTTTTGTGAGATTACTGTAGGTTTACGGTATAGTGTCTTACTCCAAACAAGGAAAGAGTTGATTCAACACATGAAATGATTTTTGTGTTTGGCACCTTACTATGTAAAGTTTCGGCGAATTTTGAGGTTCTGGCTCTTTAGTAATTGATTGTGGATCCCAGCAGCGGCCTTGCGTACAGCTGCTCGCTCAACTTTGCGAGGGCGTCAAATCTCGACATGCCCCTGAATTTTTTCTTTCTTAAGCCGAATGAGTCAACCTCTAGTAACAATTCGTACATGATTCGAGATTATTGCGCATGGTCTACTCAGGGATTCGCGTCATGCGAGCGGTCCTCCTATAAGGGCTAGCGTACAAGCGGTCGACATAAGCCTAAAGCTTCCGTGCGTGCGGCAAACAGCTGAAGTGTCGTCCTAGCGCCAGGCAATGTTACCGTGCAAACGGCCTGCAATACGATTGCTTGAGCGAGCGGCCAGCAATGCGTCCGTCTTATCGGCCGGCACTATCCGTTGCTATGCAAGCGGCCAGCAACGACCTCTATCTTCGGCTCATTATTTTCACACATTGTGAGCGTAAACGGTACCTGCGTGAGATACGACGCAGCTTAAGCTGGCTAAGCGTCGACATATCGTGCTATCAGCATTTCTCTTCACCGCAAAGCTGGAATGAATCTGTGTGAGGCTACACTTATCAAGAGTGATGGTGTGTGCTTTCCCATGGAAAATTTGGGTAATGCTGCAGGCATTGATCCATGTTCCCAGAATGTGGGAATGGTTAACCCAGGAAAAATGGTCAAAATACCCCATATAAACCCACTCCAGCAGCAAGCGAGCGGCCGACCTTCCCCGCGCAAGCGGCGAGCATTAGAAACCGTGCGGGCGCCCCACGTTAACCGCGCTAACGGCCCTTGACGACCGTACAATCGCACACACCGACGAGCGATTGTAAGTTTGTCGCTGGCCGCCCGCACGGTGCGAGTCCCTGAGTAGGCTGCTAATGGCTTCGTTTTAGCTTAAAACCTAAAAATTCTTAAAGGCAGCGGCTCGGCAGAATGACAACTTTGGGATATTCATCGTTCTCGGTCCTCCTGGATGAGCTGAGTCTAAGACTGTACTTTGCAGCTTAAAAAGATATCAATAACCCGCTTTTCCAGACGTGAAAAGCGCTATTTAAGGGCGCACCGCATAAGCCTGTCCTCGAGTGCGATTCTTGAGTACTGTCGGTACGGTATCTCCACTCACGAGCCAATCGCGCTCGAGGACGGGCTTACGCGGTCCGCCCTCAAATAGCGCTTTTCACGTCTGGAAAAGCGGGTTATTGATATCTTTTTAAGCTGCAAAGCACAGTCTTAGACTCAGCTCATCCAGGAGGACCGAGAACGATAAATATCCCAAAGTCATTCTGCCGAGCCGCTGCCTTTAAAGGCAGCGTCCAGCCAAATCTGGACCTATGGGGCTCTCACATGAAAAGTAATCTTGAGGCCCTAAATAAGACTCCGCCCAAGCGGCAGTTCAGATAGTGCACTCACGGCTAAGATATTGGGCTCCAAACCATGCCACGTGACCGTATCCGCATGGATTCGTGACTCGGCACACCAGTTTCGCGTGGATCCTCGCGCGAAAGCGCCACGAATCCATGCGGATACGATCAAGGGGCATAGTTTGGAGCCTAATATCTTAGTCGTGAGTGCAATATCTGAGCTGCCGCTTGGGCAGAGTCTTATTTAGGGCCTCAAGATTACTTTCCACGTGAGAGTATGTCCAGATTTGCCTGGACCTATGGGGATTTTACGTGGAAAGTACTTTTGGGGACTAACTAAGGCACTGCTCAGCGGCAGCGCAGGTAGTGCTCTAACGCCTGAGATCCCCTCGAAACTGGACCCCGCGATCGTATTCGCATGGATTCATGGCAGTTTTGCGCCAGGACACAGGCTTTGCGCCATTAATCCATGCGGAATACCATCGCGGGGTCCAGTTTCGAGGGGAATATCTCAGCCGTTAGAGCACTATCTGAGCTGCCGGTTGGGCAGGAGCTTAGCTAGGGGCCCCAAAATTACTATTCACGTGAGATCCCCATGTATCCAAACTTGCCTGGACGCTGCCTTTATATTCACTAGTATAAATGCCTTCAATTTTTCTACATCGTGTGCAAAATTGATCTTGTGCGCAGTTGTATCACGCATTATGCTCTACATATTGCCAAAGTTTGAGTGCGTACATCCAAAAAGAGTAAAGTTTGGAAGAAGTACATATTGTCAAAGTTTGAGTGCGCAACATCCAAAAAGAGTAAAGTTATGGAGGAAATTGCAAAACTTAGTTTCCAGCCTAATACTATATCTGTCTTTTGCAAAGTTTAGGCCAAAGGTGGGAGCTGGCACAGGATAAGTGGGCATGCTGATTACGAATACAATGTTATTTCCAGAAGTCGACTGGGCTGCTTATCGATCTTCTCGATTTTTTGCAAAGTTTTACTTACGGTTGGGAGCTGGTAGGGGGGAGGGGAGTAAGTGCACGCTGATTTAGAATATAGGATTAGTTTCTAGAATCATCAATCATGCTTTTCGATTTTGTCGATCTTTCGCAGTTTACGCCACAGGATGGGAGTTGGCACAGGTGGTAAGTGAACATGCTGGCTACGGAATTGGAGGCAGAGTATCGGCACACAGAGCTGGGACTGGGACGGAAATGTACAGAAATGGAGTAAGGTGATTTCTACCATATTGTGTTAGGATCAACTATGCCAGCTAGTTCACAATCAGGCCATTTTCTCGATTTCGGTAATTTCGGACCATAGCGGATTGGCGTCGAAATCAGGAGCCATCGTCGAATGGTCGGTGGATTCAACATGGTAGTTTGGTTCTCATAATACATTCAAAATTCATCGGGTTATCGAAGGCAGTAGTCATGAAGGTAACGTTCATTTTATATTTAGCGTTATAGGTTAAGTTAACGGTAGTTACTCGGTCGAGGTTAACATGACGAATTTTCATTATAAAAAAATGTATGTTAGAATTGCTCCACATGCTGGTCAATATACGAAACCTTTTTTTTTTTTGAAGTGCTCCATAGGGTTACGGTTAGTAGAACATTTTTCGAGGCAGAATGTCGAGCTGAAGATTTTCGCTTACCTAGGCTTCTCCCTTGGCTTGGAGAGCGCCAAAATGTCGAAAACGTTTCTTCGAGGAAGTGAGCACAGCCCGCCAAGCTGAAACACAGAATGGCCGTGAGCATGCAGTTCAAAAATCGCTGGGTGGGCGGGAGCGGAATGTAGAGGTGGGACCCGGCAATTGAGAAGGAGCGAATCATACCTGCAATCGCGCTTCTTCACTGCTAGTTCAATGGCTTCAAAACTTTTCGGTGCTTCACAAAGTTTTTGCGAACTCATAACCTCGAAAAAATTTTTACAAAGCTTCTGTGAATCATAAAAAACCTTTAATGATATTTCAATCATTTACAAGTATAAACAAGTCACTTCACGTTGTTATAAGCGTAAGTACAGTCGAGTAGAATTTCTGCTTAATATAGTGTGCTTGCACTGTAGGTGAAATGCGGGAAAATTTGTGCGTGGAGAGATAGCTAAGCCAAGTAGCAAATAGCAACATATAGCAATAGCTAGGCCTGTGACGCCTTCCATTTGCGCGCGCAGATTGCCGGCATTATTGCCGTGGCTAACTTTTTGCGCGAAAATTTTACCGTATTTCACGTACAGTGCAAGTACACTATATTAAGCGGAAAATATACTCTACTGTAACTTCTAAAAATCTTTATATGATAACTTGTTCATCAAATTGGTGAGGAATAATTTCAATTAATTGCGGCACTCAAGGGTATCATAACAGGAGGTTCTTTTCTCCGATGTTCATTAGCAACATTTTCTTTCTGTACACAATCTCACACTTTCAGTGATGGCCAGTGCAAGCCCCGGTTAGGCAGAGGTGACGCACTAGTTTACACAAAGCAGAAAATCTGGAGTAATTGTGTCCTTCACAGACTCCTTTCTGGGCGGACAGATTGATCCGAAACTTTGCACAACTATGTTCTCAAACGTCCAGTTTCGAAGTGGGAAGGATGCGGTAATTCAAGAACCCATATGGAGGCGGGTTAAAATGGTAGCAGAGTATACTTGGGACCGAATCGAATAATTATTCGATTATTCGAATAAATCATTCGAATGCGAATGATTCGAAAAGTCGAATATCGAAAATCTGAGATTTCGAGTAAAATTCGAAAGTCGAATATTCGAAATTTTCAGTTTTCGAATATATTCGATAGTCGAATATTCGAAAATCTTCATTTCCGAATATTATTCGAAAGTCGAATATTCGAGGGTCATTCATTCGATCATTCGATGTCCATCAAATATTCGAATATTCGTTGAGCACCGAATATTCGGAAATTCGATAAGAATTGACTATTCGAAAATTCGATAAGCACCGAATATTCGAAAATTCAACATGCATAGCGTATACGGGGTGTCTCAAAAGTATTTATACACCGTTTGATCGCTAATACCTCTCAAAGTCTTTTGCCAATTTCTGGGTAACACCCAGTAGGGATGGTTTCAGCGTATAAATACAGCAGAAAGCAAATCACACCCATGTTTTTCTGTGTGTTATCACGGTAGGAAATCAGCATATAGACTGCAAAATAAACATCCAAAAAATTGTCACCAAAAAAGGTCTAAAATCTGTGCAGCAGTGTTTCTACGTATACTAATTTTACTACGCACGAGTTTTCAAGCTTTTCAAATGGCAATCACATTTTTGAAAGCCGTTGCAAAACACTTGTTACGGTGTACCTGTGTAAGTTTCAAAAAAAAGCATTACGGTTGAGCGCAAATCTTATATATAAAGCTGAATGTCTGTTTGTCTGTCTGTCTGTATGTCTGTCTGTATGTCTGTCTGTCTGTATGTATGTACGTATGTTCCGAATACAAATTTTTATTTCTGAACCGATCGGGACCAAACTTGGCACACATATACTTCAGGGCAGGGAGCGTGTCATAGGCTACTTTTCGTTATCGATCGGTATCGATTTTATTGATTTTTTGCAAAATTCGAGCTAGAGGGCTGGGATTTGGCAGAGGGGGGTAATCGAGCATGCTGATCACCCCGAAGGGGTGATCAGCATGCTCGATTACCCCCCTGTGCAAAATCCTAGCCCCCTAGCTCAAATTTTGCAAAAAATCGGTAAAATCGACATCGATCGATAACGAAAAGTGGGCTGTGACACGCTCCCTGCCCCGAAGTGTATGTGTGCAAAGTTCGGTCCCAATCGGTTCAGAGATAAAAATTTCTATTCGGAACATACGTACACGGGTCTAGCTGGCAGGCCCGGCGGAGCCGGGCAAGCCAGCTAGTTCTACATAAAGTGGGTGTCTTCAGAAGTCTAATGCAAGACTTTCGGCCCTTTTGATTCTTTTGCTTGGGGAAATGGCTCTTGATGTTTCGAAACACGCTTCAATCTTACGGTAATTGTACAACAGTGAAAAGCGATTGATAAAAAGCCCCATATCTAAGTTGATGCCAGCCTACAGATCTAGATACTGTTGGGACCGCTCTATATCCAATCGCAACTCAGTATATAATATATATGAGGCAGTGGCGTACCGAGGGGGGGGGGCGAGGGGGGGGGGCGCCCCCTTCCCGAGAATGGGTCGCGAAATTTTTGAAAGTTACTTATAAGGGTTATAAAAATGTGCAAATGACTTGTTTATACTTGTAAATAATTGAAATATTTTTTAAAATTTTTTAAAAATTCAAATTAGCTTTATAAAAAAATTTTTTTCGGGGGCGTGGCTGACTCCACGCCCCCTTTTTCTGGATTTTCGGGGTAATGAGACCGCGAAAATTTTTGAAACCACCCCCAAAATTTTTTCGGAGTGCGTGGCTGACGCCACGCATCTTCATTAGAAAAAAATTTTTGTTGCGCCCCCCCCCCCCCCCGAGCCGAAACCCTGGGTACGCCACTAATATGAGGGTATATAATCTTCTTCGAAGTGCGAAAAATCTCTTCACAACCGTTACAGGGGTAGCTTTTAGGTTCTTAAGTCTCTTCACGTCACGATTAAACCGTTTTTCCATCGTAAATTGTAACATAAGAAAGTGTCCATTCTCAACATCTACATGAAACATTTTATTCTTAGATGTTTTGGCCATTCATAGGCATATTTAGAGTTTAATGAAGTTCGAAAATAACTTGAAATCTCAAAAGAAATATATCGAATAATTACGCGCATTGTTCTGCGATCTTATCATTGCAATCGATTTTAAACAAATGTTAAAGGTCAAAAACGCACGAAAATGCAATCAATAGCAATCCGGTCAGTTTTCTGACAAAAGTCGTAAAACTTATCAGATGATTACTTCAAACAGCTAGTAAGCCAGTGTGCTTTGTTTGGTACTTTTTGAAACTCCCATAGCACGAAATAGGAGTTTAAGTTGGTGCCAGCCGGAAAAATCGCACCTCTTGACCGTCTCCCTTTCATAGGCAGTCTCAATGACGCAAATTATTCGATCAGTCTTCGAAATCGGATGATATTCGAAAATCGAATAACATTCGAGAACCGAATAATATTCGAAATTCGAATAACGAATGATATTCGATATTCGAATATTATTCGATTCGAAATTTTCATTTTCGAATAATATTCGATAGTCGAATATTCGAAATTTCCGATTTTCGAGTAATATTCGAAAGTCGAATATTTGAAATTTTCAATTTTCGAATAATATTCGATAGTCGAATATTCGAAAATTCCGATTTTCGAATTTTATTCGATATTCGAATATTCGAAATTTTCAATTTTCGAATATATTCGATATTCGAATATTCGAAAAAAATTTCGAATTTCCCCAAGTATATAGCAGAGCCCTTGCTGTGCAGTATGCTCGTTAGACTGCATTCATACTGATCAAAAGTTCGGGAACAGTTCCAGCACAGCACTTGAACTAAGCACTAAGCACTGTGCTGGAACGGTTCCCGGACTTCGGGGGATCAGTATGAACGCAACCTTAGGTGACGAAGTCGAGATATGTTCTGAGCGGGAAAGAGGCCGAAATAGAGGGGGTGGGGTAGGGTTGTGGTTAGGAGAAGAAACACATGCTTTTCTCTTCATGCTCCAAAATCAGCTTGATCGTGTGCCGGATCAACTGACGCCGTGACTGGATTATAGAGTGCAGAAGGCACTTTTTTCCTACCGTAGCCAAAATTAGTCGTAAACTGATGTTGACTGCGAGAACATCCAAATTTACGCCAATAAATGTGCGCTGCGGTACGGGCAATGCACTGCTTCATTATTTAGTCAAAGTAGGGGGCTTTTTCGGCTAATTCAGTTATGAGCGGCTCCTCAACTTCGGCGAGGCGGAACTGCGCTAGCGGCTCTTGCGTTGCGGTTACCCTGTGCTGAGGCATACCTGATCCATTGATCTTTGTTGATCATCACGGATCCGCCTCGCCAAAGTTGGGGAGTCGACAATATATTCCGCGTATTAATGTTGTCCCACTTTATCTTGTCCGTCTTTCAGAGGGAAAAAGTTAGCTGCTTGCGATGACTGCCGACGCAGACGTTTTTCTGACTTGTGAACACTAAGTACAGTCGCTTCATTTCATATGATCATGTGAGCCATTGCACACACAGTCCACTTTGGCGTCCTCATCCTGGATTTGCAATCGCAAAAACGCAAGGGACTTACCGATTGTTATCGATTACATCAATTTGAGGTGACTAGTAACTAAAAAGGAAAGGAAATGCTAAGAACACCTTGGAAATTACCTGAAGGCTTGTTTCTCCCACGAATCCAGGATGGGGACGCCAAAGGTGAACTGTGTGTGCAATGACACACATGATCATATGAAATGAAGCGACTGTACATATCGAGATCAGAAGGCTTCATAAAGCTATAGAAAGGGAAAGCTAGCGCCCACGGAAATTTTCTGGAATTGGCTGATGCGAGGACGTGCAATTGATAGATTTCTGACCCTTTTATAGGCAATGATGCTGGGCCCGATTTCGTTCTCCACTTCTATATGTCATTTTTTAGTTATACGCAGGTCCTTGTCTTTATTTTCGAATATGTTACTAACATGAAATATGAGTGAGTTTGGCTCTCTTTCCGTCGACACTTCGACATCGTTTGTGTTATTTAAAACAAAATAGAGTTTACAACAAATCCGGACAATATCGAAGGACGATATCTACACACAAAATCAAAGATTTGACAAGCCAAGTACAAGAAGTTCAGGTTTACCATTTATGTGCACTCATCATAGCGTGTAGGAACAGCGCACAGAACTAAGTACTCATACAAATTCTTTCAAGTCGAGTGATAATTCCAGTCTCTTTTTTTTCCCACAATAGACGACTTTGACTTGACTTTTCAGATGTACTACTTTGCACCAAACCTAGCAAGGAACATCTAAGCGTAAGTGCTAAGATTTGCGCTGTACCTAGTGCCACTCTTGTCGTTTTCGGGTCTCAAATCATATCATTGTCCTAGATTCATGTGGAGGCGGGTTGCGGACTTCCGCCTGAATAAAGTTGAACTTCTTAAACCTGCTCGTTGCAGCATTGTTTTTCATACCCTCTCAAGTTCATTCTTTTGATCAGCGAAATTCCGCAACCGCCTCTACACAATTGAAGCCGATCATACCTGACTATTTCTCTGTTGGCTAGAAGATTAGGAGTAAATAAAAACTTCGAAGAAGAGTAAAGAAGAGTACCATCATGCCGTAAGAAGATAGTATGAGATCATAAACGGCAGCATTGCGTAATAAGAAACAAATTTTAATTTAAAAGAGATGGAACGTGGGCTCAACATCTTTTGGGCCTCTTCAGGAAGAAAAGCATGCAATAAAGATTCAAAAAATGAAATCCGCGATTATTGACACAAATAGTCCAGCTGTCTTGAAGCACACTATGCATTGCACATAAAATTGCTGTATAATATGAAAGTGTCGATCTGCTCACTTGATACATGGCCTTTTCAAATCAATGGCACCAGGACTGGCGAGTGATGCGGAAACAATGTCATGCAATGTTTATTTGAAGCTCCTGGCACTTATACTACTATTTTATCACCTCATTACACGATTTTGGAGCGATTACATGCCTCAAATACTACCGCGAACATTAATAGCGTGAAGCTGCATGTTTCTGCAGTCAACGTTAGTTTTACGGCTAATTTTGGCTACGGTAGGACAAAAGTGCCTTCTGCACTCTATAATCCAGTGACGCCGTGATCAGCTCGCATATGTCTCTTGTATTCTCTGCAACTGCGCACTAAATTATTCATAGGTTGCACAATACTCTGGAGAATTTGAACTGTTCTTCTGCGCCCATCTTGCCAACATACCTCCTTCACACTACTGTACAGTAGCTCGATTTCAGACTGATTTGGGCGTTGCATGCTTTCTATCAAGAACAAATACCATGAGGTTTTGCTGCATACTGGCAAAGTTAAAATCCCAGAAAATCGGACCCACCGTCAGTAGAAGTGCTGTGTGCTAATCAAGATCGTATTCTTTAAAACGTCATGTAAGTACTTGTGGAAACACCAGAACAAAAAACAATTTATCGAAACTCATAAACAGAAAATCTAAGAACGGTATGATAACGATAAGGTACGCAGCAACACACGGGATTGTGATTGGCTCCGCCAGCGCCCACGTATCTAATCGAAATCACTTACTGGCCGGCAGTTGCGCACTAACAATATAACCAAAACAGAGAGAAGAAGAGCAACAATCGGGGGACGCTCAACGCCCGCCGCGCCTAAGCACCCAAGCGCGCCTATCTTACAATTATTACAAAACAACGTTCCAATAAATAAAAGTATGTATATGTGCATTTTACAAGTGCTTAACAGAGAGAGCGGGGGTGAGGCCCCCGCCGATAACAAAAAGGTAAAACTTGTATCGACAATTAAAAACCGGACGGTAGCGAAGTGTTCGGGAGGGAAAAGCTCTGAGTGGAGACTAACGCACTACACGTGTGAACGCAAACTCAGCTAAGTTGTTGATCGAGTACTCATCCGATTATCCACTCTCAAAATGGAATATTTCACGACAAGCACTTCCTCTTCGACTATTCAGTACGCGACCTGGGCTGTCCTACCACACACTCACAAAACACGCTTCTGAACACAACTGAATTACAAAAAGCTAAGAACCAACCAGAAACTTATAACAAAATGACAAACAACGGGGTCACTTGGGAAGTCAAATTAGATGGGGGTGAGGGACTCAACAAATTACAGTTCGCCGTGGCTTTGTTAATAAAACCACGTCGAGCCAAAACAGCAACAGACACTCCCTTCCAGGAAATGATTAGTCGACAATACACAGCTTCAAAATTCTAGAGGAGATGTGACAATTCAGAGCCAGTGCGCGCACTGGCTACCGTTTCATACTATTGTGGCACCGACAGATGAACATCTACTGCTGCACACCACCGGCACTACGTTGGAAACGATAGAGGTAGAGGCGGTAATCCTTCGAAGCCAGAACTACGCTGGTCTCGTCCACCAGAGCAACGTCGAAACATTGTGCATGCTTTACTTTGGATTCGAGAGCACCAATCATAGCGCCGTCCTAAAGGACAGTGTTGAAGAAATAAAACATACGTAAAATAGAAAAAATAATGAGATATTTGTGATGTTGAGAAGGAATAGAGACGTACCTGCGAGAACACAGTTAGATTGAAGTTGTTATGATTATCTGCTACAACGACATCGCCCATAGCATTGATAGCTACACCAATAGGATAATTGGTTATGCCTTCACCTCCAACTTGACGCAAGAACTGCCCTTCATAGGAGAACACCTAAAATAATGAATACATCTCAACAGCTAACGCAAGAAAGTAAACGTATCCAAGAACATGAAACAAACCTTGATGCAATGTGCGCGATTGTCCGAAATCAGTATCTCGTTCTTGTCATTAGTGCAAACACCGTTCGGAAACTCCAGATAACGAGAACAGCTGAACTTCTGCAGGATATTTCCAAACATGTCGAAAATGATGACTCGCATCACCTAGAAAATATTGGTCTTAGTCTCATTTTATAAGTGAAAAGTTCTGTTTACGGAAATGAATGAAGAAGTGCAAGGTATGGAAAGATTCAAAGTGAATCTTTACGAAATCAAAGAGGATACTCGATGGTGAACACTTAGTCGAACAAGTGAGTGAATTTTGTTTACCTTGCATTCGACGACGATAATACGTCCCTTGCTATCCACACAAACACCTCGTGGATGCTGGAGAATATTAGCGCCGAATTTTCGCAAGAATTGTCCATACTGGTTGTAGACTTGGATTTGATGCGTTGGGGATCTTTCAGTAACCACGAAATCACCAGTCATTTTGTTAACAGCCACTCTGCAATTAGATTCGTTTTTATCATGTAAGATGCATAAGAGGAATCATATGAACAAACCTGTTAGGGTAAAGCAGCTGGCCATCACGTTTGCCGCATTCGCCAAACTGGAACTTGAAGCGCCCCTCTTTATCAAACACCTAAAGAAAACCATCATAGCGACCGTTAGTTATATCAGTACGCAAGGACTTACCTGGATGCGATGGTTGTTTGTATCAGCAACCACTATATCGCCCTGAGCGTTTACAGCGACACCTGATGGTTCCGTGAACTGCCCTTCCATGACACCGAACTCGCCAAACTTGCAGTGATAAATCATCTTCTGACGACTTATTTGCGATCGACTGCAATTTCTAAGAAGTGAATGTCGTATGAGATAATTCCACCAATGTGATTTTTGCAAAATAATAAGTTGGTAAATCTCTTATTTCATTAACGAACATGAATATTAGTGAAGAAGCGCAACATAGATAATGCAGTCTGATAAACCAATTGGTAGAATAGCTGTGCAAAAGGGCTTGTGGTATACGGCCTGCATGAAAAAAAATACCAGAAGGTCAAACGAAGCTCAGATCTGTCCCCAATGGTTCGAAAATGAGACTACCGAAAGAACTAAAGAGAAAGATTTTAGCTCAATGCTCATGCGTTGTATTATAGCATGTAAGGTACCTTCTTTATACATATTACGAAAAGTAATTTCTTCTCTTCTGAGTAAGTGGATTGTTAGAGATGCGAGCATGAAGAGTTTATAGTAACTTAGCCAAAATATAGAGTCCCACGCATCAAACCTCATGCTTCATGACAATTCAAAAATGGAAAAACTTCAAATTATAGCAAATTGCCAATTTCGAAAGCTTTAGAAACCTTTCAAAATATTCAATTCAAAATATCCAAAGTACATCACAAAGATCACGGCAAGCTGACTCGAAAACATGACTCACCTTGGCGGATACAAAGGTCCCATTTTCTCATCTTCAACATTCCCAGGCTCAAGCATGCCCAGGCTGGGCTCCACTCCAATGGACCACTTATCATAATTATAGACAGGAACTCCACAGGCTTCCTGAAAAATCACATGAATTTCTCAGAACATAGAACTGACTTAATATGTCAGTGTTAATGCATAGAAAAACTGTTAATCAATTCAGCTCTGAGGAGATTGATGTGATATTAATGTAAGGAGATAGCCTTACATTTCAACAGTTTCTCAAAAAGCAGCTTGCCAACAGCAAAAGATCTGCTTGATTAGAATTCACTGAGTAAGAAGGAACTAATCAATTAGATTAATTATAATAGAAAGTTTCTCATTTCGTACAACACAAAATCAATTTTGTTATGTTTAGCTCAAAATATGAAAATGCTGCAATTGTAAAGCAGTCTTAGGGACGAAATGAGACAACCCACAAGAGAGGATGAAACGTCGCTGGCGAAATTCCCAAGGGATTGACTAGAGCCACCAAATTCGTTTCTCGGACGAAGGAAGCTGTTAGGCTCAGAGAACACATTTGGCGCAAGGGGAACACTGTGTGCCTGAGGCGGGGAGCGCACAAGCTTAAACCACGACATTAGCCAAAAGTTTTCATCCCACATTTCCAATAAAAGACATGCTTAATGTGCTTTGTGTGCACTACAACTATAGTAGCCAACCTGTCTGCTTGGCGGTCTGCCGATCGGCGTGGGAGGCATTCCTGTTTGTGAACTAGCTTGTCCACTCCAGTCTGCAGCACCTCCTCGGACCTGTCCGAGTAGGCTTTGGATGGCTTGTCGGGCGCTGCCCACGTTCAGTGGAGGAAGATCTAGCTCACACGAGGAACCCAATGCATTTGATGCCTGAAATTGGAATAAAACAGGATAATGATTAACCATGTACACAGAAAACGTTCAAGTGAGTACTACATTGGGCACAAAAGAAAAGAAAAACTTACGTCTGGATTAAAAGCTAGGAACAATTGAAGCCTGGTGTCTAGCAGTTGTTTGAACACCATAACTTCCGTAGGAGATGCATATTTGACTAGTCTGGTAGTGAAATCAATGGTTTGACTAAGTTTTTCGGTCATCTGTTGGATGCGCTTATCGACCATGGTGAGTTGAATCTAAAATGCTCCAAATTAGAGGTATACGTTTTTCTTCACGCTATCACTTCACAATCAGCTAACATTTATCAACAGAGGAAGAGTATGAAAATCAAGATTCAAAAGGCATGACTGAATAAACACTCAACAGCACAAGATGGTTTTTACATGCTTCAAAATCACGAGTCTGAAGCAGATTTCGCAAAGCAGCCAGATGTTCGTGAAGCTGCTTCAATGGCGAAATGACTAATTTCGCGAAAAATCGACACTGCGCTTCCCGAAACAACCAGAATTTGTGTCAGATAGATAGTTTTCGGATGCAGAAAAACATATCTCCTTCTAGCATTTACCCATCAATTGGAGCATTCGGAGCTTTGGAGAATTTTGAAGTGCTCCCATGTTTTCTTCAAAAGAAAAAAAAAGTTACCTGCTTAGCTGAAAAGGCAGTATCAATTTCTTTGGCGGCAGCTTTGCGTGCCTCGTCGATGATGCGCACGAGGGCATTAGCGTTATCATCGAGCTGTGAGTGAGCACGGCTCAAACTTGCACTCAGACGTTGTTGTGAGGAATCGACCTGGAAAAGGAAGTCTTAATCTAGATGATACCACTTTTGAGAAGAGGGAAAGGGTTGATCAAAAGCAAAACCTGTTTGAACATTTCCAACAGCTCAATGTGTTTATTGCGCGCTTCATTAACTAGCAGCTCCATGGTGCTGAGCTGCTTGTCGGCGACCTAAACAAACATGCTGAATACACATATACATACTCCAGCAAAGAATAAATACAAAAACGTTTGAGTCGGCTGTTTTGCAAGTGTTTTTCAGCATTCAAATGCAGTACTAAAATTATTTTTACACTCATGTGAATAAAAAAAGCGGAGCTGCGAACCGCTTTTGCGAGAGGTTCTTGAGTAAAGCATCCGTGAACAGAAATTATCGATTAATTAAAGGAATTATGTAAAATTATATGGATGAGAATATTTACCTCGCTGATGGGTTCATACTGATGAGATGGTTGTGCATGTTCCACAAGCGTACATTCGCGACAGATAGCCAGATTACAGGTGAGACAGAAAAAGCGCAAAGGCTGAGCACGATGCTGCAAACATTTACAGGCACGCTCGTGAGCAGAAGCGGCGCTGGATGGAGGAGCAGGTGCCTTAACCCGTTCGTTAAGAAAAGGAGTAAATCAGAATTTGGTTTTGTTACCTGAATTTGTGAGATGGCTTCGACACGATGTCCTTCAAAACAATGCATGTACTGATGGGCCATCGTGCAGTTGGTGCAAAGATAGTGAGTACATTCTTGGCAGTAATGGGATGCACGTTCTCCGGACTTGCATCCAGTACATGCCGAGCGGTTTGTTGTGTTAGAGTTCTAGGTAGCGGTGAGGATAGTCAGACGAGATTAGGCGATATTTGCATTGAGAATTACCTGATCACAAGGTGAGTCGGAAAGGGGAGGTGATGAGGAAGTAGAACTGGGAGAACCAAACAGCAATCCCTTATCTTCGGTTAGGTTAGGACGAGAAAGAACAGCCTCAAGACCATAGTCGGAGAGGAGAGAATCGAGGCCAAGTTGGACACTAAAACGTTAACATAACAATGACAAACGAAAAGAAGAACGGATTTTGAAGTGCTTTTCTCGCAAATCGTACCTGAGCTGTGTTTCCATGTGGCACTGTGGACAAACGATTTTTTCTGCAGAGTCAATTTGTCGTTCGAGGCAAGCCTTGCAGAATGAGTGGAAGCAGGCAAGGACCTTTGGTTCGCGGAAAGGCTCCTGGCAAAGCGGACACTTCACCACCTGTAAAAACGTGCTTTAAACTTCTTGAAATAACAACTTCAAGATAGAAAAATGGAAAGTGAAAGAAGTGATTGTGAGTTCTATGAAAGTACAGAAAAGGAAAACACGACAACCCAAAAGAACGCTACTAATTGTATGCAAGCCAGACGGTTTCCTGCGATACTTATCTTTATACTAGTGAACCAGTAATCTAAAGGTGCTATCTGCAAGAGGTTCGTTTCCGTCACGCGGTTTCCCGCTATTTGCAGATTTTTGAATTGCGCTTACGTTTCCTTATATATCAGATTTGGTCTTTGAAATCAAATAATGCGCTTCATCAACTTTAGCCATCAAGAACCACCAAAGAAAGACGTACTCATTCTAGTGTAGGAACCCAGACTCTACAACCCACCCACCCAACTTGTATGAGGGTGTGGGTGCGGTTCATAGAAGGGCCGAAAAAGATTCGCAAAACGTCATCCGAAGGAAAAGCCTTGAAAGGAAGAACACTTTCAATACAGCTGTTGACAAGCAACTTGAACCAAAGTTGGAGGGAAACATCGCGATTGAATTATGCAACCGCTTTTACTTCGGAATACGTATTGGCGCAAGCTTCAGAATGCTCCCCGTGGGAAAACGTGGTGTTCCGAGGCAAAACGTGGTCTCTACTTGGCGGGAGAGTTCCAACTCAGCGCGGTGCACGACTACAACGATAGGATCGCGATGGGCTGACGATTCGAGGTCTCGGCGAATGTTTGTCGCGACCGCGCGCCTGGCACCGACGCGAACCGCGGCGAACGCGCGCCCCGTCGTGCATGGCGAGGTCACCACCGCCAAACTGAGCGGTTGTGTGTGCGTGTGTGTATTGATAAGCGCCAGCACCGTTGTCACTACGGGCACACGCCGTTCGAACCGTAACTGATAACGCCATCTCGTCGGCCTAAAGTCGTGGTACAGCGCCGTTTTCGTCGACCGAAAGGATTTGCGCGGTGAATGTCCGTAATTACGTGAAATCTTGTTGCGGCAACTTGAAGAGGAACCCAAGACAAAAATTCTGAAAACTATACTAAAACCGCGTTGTAGCAAAACAGTCATAAACGACATAAAATGGGTACTTTATACCTTGCACCAGATAGAGCGCTCGTACTGATGTCCAAACACAAAGCGCAATAACAGTCGACCTTGGCTGCAGATGCTATTAGTGCGCTCTACTGCACAGTACATGCAAATGAAGGCGGTTACCAGGTCATATGCCAAAAACCCACCACGCAGGGAAGGGGGGGGGGGAGGTTCTAAAACTTGTGTGTGGCGCACATAACCGGCATCTCACTCACATCTCAAACTATCTTCTAGAGTTGTTTTCAAATTTCTTCCCTCAAGCATAGAAACTACAAACAGTTGTAATCAAAATCCGCATAGCCGCCTGACTAATCAGAATTATTTCAGCGTGTTGACAGTTGAATCGTCGTGGGTTTCCACACTCAGTATGCAAATTCACACATTAGCTCACAAATGACGCCAGTATGGTATTTTGCCTCTGGGACGGTCCTCTAACGTTGTAATAAATGAGCTTGAAGATTGGATTTGACGTTACGACGGGTTTGTCGTTTCGAGGCCATTCATCGTAATACCAATAACCCATATACGAAAAAAAACAGCTTGGGAATTTTGGAAGATTGTGGGGATTTCCACACAAAAGTACTAGTTCAAAAAGAAATAGCGAAAGGGACAAACGAAGGTTCTGAGGCATGGAATGGGTGACTTTATGTGTTTCAATTGTTTCAAAATTCCACCACATAGTATGCAACTTTCAATGAAAAATAACATGTTCATTAAACTCAAAAATTTGAAAAAGACCAATATGAAATGGAATATAGAATCTGACCACCATCATGAATAGCAGTGCTAGAACTGCCAATTTTCCCGGAAATTTTTCAAGGTATGGTAAGATTTGAACAAGACAAAGATGGGACAATATGACGCCATACGCGGCGTGACAATCAACACAGTGGTTAGTGAGAGAGAAGAAGAACGAGAGAGAAGACTGTGTATCCCACCTGGTCATTGATGGGCGGAGGGGTCGGTGCCAGTCCGAATGAACCGCCCAGCATAGGCTGTGAGACAGCTGAAATGCAGCGAATTTATCGTCTCGTACGTGAATACACACATCAAATATCTGATCTACATCTTTGCGCTCACATCTGTGCACGACTAGAGCAAATCTATCACTCCCTGTAACGACAAATGTAAATTTTACGAGTCGATCCTGACAAAAGCTATTAATCACCCCCAACACGCCTGCGTCTCTCTCATCAAGAGTGATTTTAATGAAATTCACTTCCTTTTCACAGCCGATCGCTCCTAATCAGGAGCTGATGCATTCGTGGGTGGCACACATCGAGTGTTAAGTTTTACAACGGCGTAATCTTTGCCAGCTTGCACAGCGAGGTGGTGTTAGCTTAGCGCGAACGCATAGTCGACGCGCTCCCTCTCTCGGGAAAACAGCTCGAAAACGAGACAAAAGACCAATTAGACGAAGATTAGCCGAGTTGAGCGCCTCAGCTACAATAGTAAGAAAGGAATTTGCCTTTTGGACATTTGTTATAATACAGTTTTGGAAAGGCATTAAAATTAAAAATTAAACAAGGGAAAGCATGATTGAATCTCAATCATGCTTTCCCTTGTCTAATTTTTTATTTTAATGCCTTTCCAAAACTCAATTTGTTATTTGTTTAGAAGTTTAGCTAGCCTTCACCCGTAGGCTCGCTGGTTCTCGAAAAGAAAATCCAACTCTTAAGAGATAAAAATTAGCTGCCAACTGCCTCCTCATAGAAAACAGTTAGCTGTTGACTTTATAACAAAATAAAAACGAAAATCAAGTAAAAAATGGAGGGGATTCTGAACTGTCCATGAGGAATACCCTGGTTTCATCGCAGAAGTTAGATTTCCAGTCATGAATGTATGCTGGTTCGGAAACTGAGGCTTTCCATTATTTTTTATTGGCCATAATTATCAAATTTTATTATTATATTATCATCACGATTTCAAGCGACTGCTAGTTAATAACCTACATACTATGCCAGAAATTATAAGTAGCCAATGGATAATCCAGGATTTTTTAGACAAGCGGGGTCTTGGCGTGCAAATTGGTGAAAACATCTTTTGTTGTGTATTGAATGAGCAAGTGTGTATAGCAGTAAACAACGTCTCTTAATGGAAATTCTTTCCTCGACCGCTGCTTTGGCGCTAAAAATGCGAAATTGTTAATGTAGAATTTCTTCCAAGTCCAAATTCCAGAAATTCTTGGCGCATTACTGTATGTGGTTAGATGTTAATTAGATCACTTTCATAATTTGAAATTACATTTTTTCTGTACTGGAGAGTGATTGAGTTCACAACAAATTACATTACACTGAGCGTATGTCTTCGAAAAGCTTAGTACAAATACACGACAAATTCGTTTACGAGTGACAGATCGATAATATTTTTCCAACTATTTCGATTTCAAGCGACTGGTAGTTAATAAACTGCTACCACGATTTTCTAAGCTACCTATAACCGTAATTATTTTTGGAAAATCTTTGATAACGGGGTTTAGCAGATTATGTAGGTTCTTTTATGGAAAAGTTTCCAAAAAACCAAATGAAAAAGTCACTTCAGATTATTATTGTAGAATAACAATCGTGTTACGCACGAATGTCAAAAGCGAAACGATGGTGGCCACCACAGCACAGCCAGCGATGAGATGATGTCTTAGCCAGGTCAGAATGTTCTAGATCCTATTGGTTGAGGTCACTGCACTTCCACGTATTTTTGTCCGATTTCAAAGAAGATACGGACACACTCGTAAACTCTACCAGCTGTTTGAAGAGAAAATTGCAGATGGATGCTGTACAGAGTTTACGGCCATCGAGTTTGCGTAGAAAGAAACGCAGTTCAAAGACAAATGACGTGGAAATTCGGCAATTTTCGACGTTGAAGCCGAAAAACACCACTAAGTGAGATAGATCGTTTCTAAAAAACGGCGAATGTAAACCTCGTATACTCCCATTTTAGGCTAGTCATAGCAGAAAGTAGAAATAGACGTCTGCATGTTTGCAGGAACATTTTTATTTACGATAATTCTGCCTACAGTCCATTCCGAGATTGAAAACTCAAGAACGTTTTGCATACACTGCCCAGAACAAGCTCAAAATTGTCCTTCCCTTGTTCGAAAATAAAGAACCAAGTTAGCTTACAAGTCGAACTTGTTGAACATACGTGTACAAAGGATATCGAGTATCTAATCTCAAGATGGATAAACTATAAGATTCAACCAATCATAAACATTTTTTCTTTGACACACGAATTTACAGCGAAGACAAAGAGCAGCGCTCTGCTGGAAATTCTTTCAGCTTGAAAAAAAAGAACTCGTGTGAGAGAACGGATCGGGGTGTGAAGATCAAATGCGCTGTGTTTGCTATGTAGGCGAGCACGATAAGGATCAGAAGTATAAACAATTCTCAAAACGAACGCGAATGCAAATCCGTGCGCAATCCTATTCCATGCGTATAAAGGAGTTTACATTCACTCCTTTATACGCATGGAAAAGAAGGATTGTCCACAATGTTACCAAGTCAGTGGATACTGTCTGCAGCACTTTCAAGCACGGAAATTCTCAAAAATCCCAACTGTCAAGACAGCTTGATTCACCTTGTGTGTAATTGTTTCCTGACTATCCATAAAAAGACAACGAATGCGGAAGAATGACGGTCACAGAGCAAATTGTACGTTAGCGCAAGAAAAAATGCAATAAAAAAGGTGCACTAGTGCAGAATGTGCGAAAGAAAAGCAACGAGACTCACGAACGAAAAACGCGAGATTTTTTCATGTGACGTACTATAGTGCTCATTGTTTCCAGTGAATGAACTTTTATTTCCGTGACAAAGCTTCCCACAGCGCGTAAAAATACGTTTATCAAGAGTATGGTGCACTTAGAATTGCAAAGGATGCGGCTGCTAAACGAATAAAAATAGAAGACAATACGGGACATAATTGCTTCCCAGCAATAAACCGAAGGGAAAAAGGTTTCTGGTACCAAAATCATGTTGCAAGCATTGCCGGTCCCGCTGAGCTAGTCAAAAATGGCGAGCTTTGCTTTATTTGTCAAAAATTTTAGTTCATCAACTGCTTTTCAACGACAATAGTTTCTTCCAGAGAATTATTGCGAAATGGAATTTTTTTCCTAGTTTATCAGGTGCTTTTCCCCGATAAGTAGTCTTTTTCCGATCAGCTTATTTCCTAATGCGATATTAAACGGATTTTGTATGTTTCCTTCTATTTCTGTTCCTCTCCAATACTTGCTTGTCCTATTTCTCGTTTATGACTTTTTTGGTGATTTAGTGAATTCCCACAAAAAGGCGTAATGCGCATTTCGCTGTTTAAATTTTGTTTTCACTCAAAGTTTGGGTAAATCTGTGAATCACGTGAGTGAGATTGTGCGCACTATCTGTGACATAGAAATATTTTTAGGAAAAAAGGAAAGATGCATTATGTTTATATCGCAAGGATCCATACTAAAGGATTTTCAGGAAATAAAATTGGTATACCGTGCTACACTACTCGCATTTTAGTTATAGCTGTAGCGGGAAGAGCAGGAAATATCTGCAGCAAGATTAGTTCTTAAATGGTTGAAGAAGTGGTTTACTTTGGGACTAACTAAAACATAGAACAGCAGAATGTCCCCTTTTTTGGAAAATAGCGCAGATGAAAAAAAGCAGCGTTAGCACCTGCGTCTCTCTGCAAAGCAATGGAATGTTTACTTTCATCTCTATGCAGCAAGTGTCGTTCTGAACACTGCGAACACTTTCGTTCCGAATCCAAAAATACACGCGCGCAAGCGTTTGGCGGCTCGAAAAATCCACAAAGAGCGCTGAGCCGGCTCGAATAGGATCGGTGTGGTCGTTCTCGGGACGGACGACGAAACGCAGCGATCAGCACGACACATGTGACAGCGAAAAACTGCTATCTGAACTGGCCAACTGGCTGTTTGCTGTTCTGCTGCGTGTTCGAAGCGAAAAAGCGTGTGTGATGGAGGCAAGGGATGCGCTGCACCAAAATCTTCTGATCCTCTATACCCGTAAGGGAAGATGTGATGATCCGTATGTCCGTGGGGTGCCATCCCCACATCCAGTTTCTAAGCACACGGGATCTGATCGGATACGACGACGCGTTATCTGCACATACAGTTGTCAGCAGGACAACAGTTAGTTTGTGTCGACAACTAGTTTTCGTTCTGTGCTGTGACGCCGCTGCGATTGGATGTAAAGATCGGCATAGCGCAGATTTAGCTGTTTGAGGATCTTGGCTAGGAAAATGTTGTCGTTTGTAAATTAAAATCACACCTACTTTGCGCTAGAAAAAGACTCGAAACCGCTTTGTACACATGTCAACATGCTCTAACTTGTCCCTATCATTCATTCTCTGACTGAGAGACACGGGCACGCATTGCGTACTCTGTTTAACAAGTTTATTAGTGCGTTTTGAATACAAGTAGAATTTCGTGAGATAACATGTATAGGCGTCGTAAAACCTAATTGTCCGCGCCGTGCCTCGAACACCAGCGTAGGCGAGCGGTCGTCGCGAACGACTGTCAGCGTTCACTAAATTCCAGAAAATCTTTCTCTAACTTTCATGTTGTTCTCGTCAATGTAAGGTATATCTTGACGAAAGCGCCCTTCACATGGTTAAAAAAATATGTGTAAATAGGGTGTGCGCTCATTGTCGCTCGCGAAAAGCCTGTAGCGCTTCGGGACCAAACGTTTCCAGCCGCGCCGCGCGTTGGTGTTTAAAGCGACGCGTGGGCAATTGGATTTTACGGGGCCTGTACTCGTTGTGTTTAATCCTGCTCGAACATATTCTTTCAAAACCCAATAGTAAAACAAACGAAACGCGTTAGAAACCTATATACCTGATTCAAGTAATGAATGCTAGATGAGACATACAAGTATAAACTTGTGTTATCGCAAGTTTAGATGATGTGTACAAAGAGGTTCCGAGCGTAGTCTCAGAATGAATAAAATGTGAGATTGCACACCGCGCGCAGGAAGTCGCGACTATTTAGTGGTAGAATAAGTCGACTCCGTTTCGATGACACACTATTGGAGATGCTTGTCAAATCTGCCTACATATTTATACTCAAAGCCTGGAAAACATTGACATGTAGTAGCAGCGTCGTGAAATGGAGCGCGTTGTGCTACCATAAAATTATCCGTGAGTCTATTTTCTAGGAGGATTGAATGAACTTTGCGCACGTAAGTGTGCTTAACGAGTTAGAACTTGTGCATAACCTCATTCTGCATGTCTTCCCTTTGATAACAGAAGCATGAAAATGCTGAAACATGTAAAGCAATACACACAGCATACATTAGCCTCGTAGTCCTACAACGAATGGAAGATTCAAGCATTGGTCCCTTACCGACAATGCACATGCTTTGTATGTTTGCTTACAGAGCTCATCTTGGCCGTCAACATAGAAAACAGCAGGTAACCTCAACTGATGGCCTAATAATCTGCTAACAATCGTGCATTTAACCCCAGCGCAATCATCTCTGCAGGTGTTCGCAGCACGCACGCGCAACTTGTGCTTACTGTTCTTTTACGAAGAGAATACTATAGATAAATCTCACCTGAGCCCCACGGTGAAGCGACAAACGGTTGCGGGATTGGACGTGCGACAGAAGCAAGCAGTTGCGAGAACGCGATCTCGTCCGAGCCGCTGCTACTACCCAGCGACTCCGCCTCGCTCATGTCAGCTTCTCTGAAACAAGAAAACAACAGTACGAGTTAGTTGCGCTGCGTCGCGCGCGCGATACGCTTGGTACCAGTCCGGAATTATCGAGTCATTAGTGCGTGTAAAGACTGGACTACAACAATGAGAATAGATGTGGACTTTTAAGAGGTAACAATAGGGAAAACTATAGAAGTTCATGATTTATTTTTCTGATAAACCTGGGACCAGCAATTCGATTAGAGAACAAAGAACAAAAGAGAATTGCGCAGTAAAGTTGGTTGATGGAATTACTAGTCATGTACTTCCACGAATTACATGAACTCCCCCCCCCCTCCCCCTACTATGCGCAATGTGAACTATAAAGTCATTATTTGCGAAATTCGGTATCCTTTTTACCGGACCACGATCTACGTTTGCTAGCGAAAATCTAGCGCGAATACTTTCCGAATAGGAAAGAAAACCATGATTAAAATTCCGAGCTAAATAACAGCGCGCCACGGCATGCGAGTAAATTATCTTCCAGCAGTTGCAGAAAATGTTTTTGGAAGAGAGAAGTAGGAATGAAAGCTGCTGCAAGGAGATAGCTTGATGAAGCGATCGTGGTTTGGTCAGATTCACGCACGTGATGGTGTGTGCGCAGCCATGTCGGCTAGAATAGCGCGACTCTAGCCGGCTCCAGATGGGCCAAACCCGGGAAAAGGGTGGGTTAGGTCCAAACGCCAAGGGTTGGTGTGGCACCACGGCCGTTCATGAGCCTACACATCGATTGTGGAACGACTGCTGTGCAGAAAGTAAACAACTCCTGACAGAATAACACCAATGCTGGCTGCTGCGACGAGAGAGCGCTCGAAGCGAGGAGGTTCGTAAAAAGGCGTCAGATGACTAGCCGGGTGGCTAGAGAGAGCGCACGGGCGAGGAGCGCGGACGCGGATTGCGACGCGAGCGGCGAGGCAGTGCTGCGGCCGCGGAGAGCGGCCAGAGTAGCAGATTGCACGTCGCGCCGCCTTCTGAACGATTTCGTTCACCGCCGAGAGGCTGGCGAGAGAAAGAAAGCGTTCGACGGGGAAGACTGCGAAACGACAGAGGCCAGAAGCGAAGGCGCCCGGCGAGCTAGGCCTCGCTGCGAGGAGGGCCGAGACGAGCCAGCCGGCCAGCATCCTTGCTCGTCGTTCGACCACCCAGCGACGACGAAGCAGTGCGGAGCCTGGAGAAGCCGTCGCTCGTCGTCGACATGTCCGCGGACGCAGCGGCCCTTCGAGCATGGCGCAGGAATTTTGCGAGAAAAAAATGAACGGACGCAAGCGAACAGCACAGTCTGTCATGTGGGGCCATTCACGCCAGCGGTCAGGTGTAAGCAAACAAATCACCTTTGCGGCTGCTGGCTTTGAAAATAGTCCATGTGGGCCAGCAAAAACCGGTAAGCAACTTCGCGTTCATCGGGCAGGATCCGAGGCATGGGGCCTTTCGATATCTTCTGCCTGGGAGGGGATGTATTATACTTCATTGTCAATGGGTGACAAGTACACGTCAACGAAGAAGTAGCGACGATTCAGGAAGTAGAGAAATCGAAGGCATGGCATGGAAGTGGCAAGAAAATGAGAAAACTTGGTTTCCTAAATTTCACAAAATGTTCCATGGAGCCATCCATGTATGTGAGGAATGACTGCAACAATAATAAGATTGAATCTCTATTTCACTGAAAGGAAAAGATGACAAAGACATTTCACTTAAGAAAGAGGATGATAATAGAACGGCGGAACGCTGACGAATAATAGGAAGTGCAAGTCTACGCAGTCGGAAGTTGTGAAGAGAAATCGCGCACCGGTGGTCCCCGTTGAGGCATGTTTTGGATAATAGCGAAGGATAAGATAACAGCGAAAAGCCTTCGAATAACAACGACGAGCTAAGGGCATGGGGACGTGGACGCATTGGCCATGCCTCGTGATGGCGCAAGCGCTACGAGCGACGAGGAGGTGAAGTGCGACTGGTGCGATGACGTGAAGCTATGGCATCGATGTTGGACGTTCGATGCTCACTCTGCCATCATCACGTGGATGGGCCTGGAGCCGGAAGGGAGAGGGGCGAGCTCTTCGTGTGCCCTGGCGACAGGGCGAGCAGCGCCACGAAAGCCATGGGCACACGACGAAGAACTTGTTTTGCTGTATAGTCGTGGCTCCTCGGGGGACGGGGAAAGGGGGGCAGGACAGCAGCATCGGCGTCGCATCTCCAGCAAACAGCACATGAAAACAGCACGTCGTCAGCAGACAACGGTTCCTGCACGCTTATCGTTCGTCGTCACGACGTGGTTACTGTTTACAGCAAGAGGCAGAACTTTTGGGGACGGAACTGGTTTCGCATTGGTGTTGAGAGAGGAAAGCGAGAGGGAGCAGAGGAATATATGTGACACGGCACTTCCGCGATATCTGATGCAGATATGCAACCCTGTGAACATGGCGTGTAGCGGACAGTTTCTAGAACTTGCATCCATGATTCGATTAGCAGAGCGAGCGAACCGGCCGCCTGGACATGGACCTGAACGTAACGCGCGGTACACAGGTCCTGAAACTCGCCCGAGAGCCCCGCGATAGCTCTCGAGTAGGCGTAGTCATCCAATGCGCTCTCTTTCTCTCCCCGGCTCTCTCCCCCGCCCTACTTCGCGCTCCGCGCCGCTGCGCTCCGAGCAGAGAGAGCGCACATTGACGTCATACCGAGTCATACTTTCGTGTGCCGACGTCGTTCCGGCAGAATCCTCGACGCACGTATTCGCACTCACGGAATAATGGAATTGCTGGGAGCTGGCTCCACGGCGAAGTGCTGGAGTGATCAACACCACCCCAACCAGCCGAATTCTGTGTGTGTCGCGCTCGCTCGTAAACTACGCCGCAGCTGTTGTCGACGAACAACATCTCATGCAGAACAGGAACTGAGTTAGGCAAGGAGGGGAGAGGGGCAGTGGGAACGCATACGTGGAGTTCAGGCGTAGTCCTAGTGCATAGGTCACAAGAAGTATAGGGATAAGAAGTACTTGAGCGATTTCCATAACCAATTCAACCATTTCTCGAAAAGGTTGTACTTTGTGTATCGCGACGATCTGAGGAATAAAGAAAGTTAAGTACATGCTTAGCCTAAGGCAAGAGGTCACATTTTCCACGCATCCTAGGAAACCCTCTATTCCACAAAAAAAGTACCGTCAATTGAAAGAAAGAACCGAAAAAACCTAGCAAAAAACTATTCATCACGAGCACTGTGAAACTAGTTTGTGTCCTGCCGTCCCAACTCACGAGGTAATTTTTCGTTTTTGCAAGCATAACATGAAAGCATAGTGACAGAGTGACTGACTGACGCACAAAACGACGTGATGATTGCATACACAGACTACGGTAGGTGCTAGAAAAAAGTAACTGTAAGGCGAGAGTCAAGAAGTATTATGCCGAATTTTATGAGTGAGTCGTGGCGAGGTCAGAACTACCAAATGATTTATGGAAGCAATCGGACTCCTGGACGAGGATTAGGTTGCACTTTTTGTCCCCCAATGCTTGAGTATTCAGTGTGATTCTCTCGAGCGATTGAGCCGTAGAGATTAAACACCAAATTCCAAAGTCATATAATCAAAGTGCTCGCCGGGGGCCGAAATGAATACGTCAACGGGCGCACGCAGGTTTGGGTTCAGTTGGGCGTCGAAACCAGTCGGTCCCACGAACGCCGCAAGCTTTCAAGCTGAGCGAAGAGATCGTCATCTCTAGCAACGCTTCTTTTTGGAACCAGCTGCTGTTGGCGGCTGTGGTGGCTGCTGGGCTCGATGTAAGTGGAAAACATGACCATGTCAAGTGATGCGGGGCTTCTACACATTGTTTTGACGTTCGAGCGTGTGAGGAGGACGTACAAAGAAGCAGTAGAGGGAGCGAGAGGGACCAGCTAAATTTGGTGGGGCGCGGGGTGGCAAATGGCGATAATATGGCCTTGAAACATAATCTATTCGGAAACTAGGGAACTTGAGAACGCTTTGCGGACATGCGGTTAACATATTTGAACTTGTGGCCTATCTAACCTTGCATGTTATACTATTTTGAATTATAGAAGAACAAGTTGGGACCTGTAAGTCGTCTGCGAAAGCGATGCCGCGTCTTTTTCGCTCAGAACAAATAATATTTGTATTTGTACGAAAGTGTGGGTGGAGACAGGGTCTTGCAAGTCTTACAACTGGATGTACAGGATCTCAAGCCTATTTCAAGAAAGCTAATTCTTCTGTGAAGCCTGTCAGGTTGGCTACAGCTGCGATGATTGATGACAGTATAAGCCTACAAGCAGGACTAAAGTGGCAGAGCTTTTTTTTTCTCAGAGAAAGGCAAAGTGTACGATTGGAGAAGAAAGATGAAGAAGCCAAGGTACCTGCAGAGCTAGCCCGTGCGAACCAAACGGGTGAGTTATGTGGGCCGATGCCTACGATAATGCAGTATCGACCAATGAGCGCATTGCGAGCAAGAATAGCACAAATTATTCTGCAGATACTGACCTTTTTGAGCGGGAGGACTCGATCTCCAGGTAGGGTAGCATCGTCGCTGAGTGTTAGTTAGTGGCGGGCAGCAATGACAGGCTTGCGTGTGTGTTTCAGGAGCAGAGCGGAGCGGACGTGGGCAACCGCGATCCACTTGGCTGAAGTCGCGTTGCGCGGCGCGGCGGCGATAGCCCTGCGCCGCCGCCGCTGCGATCGCGGCGCCGATCGAAAACACACGTAACGAACAGCAGAAAAGCCTCGACGCAACCGGCAGCTTTGCGTTTTTTACTGAGTTGCGAGAACAATGCGGACGAATGGATGCTGTGCTATGAGAAAACATCAACGAAACTGCACAATAGTCGCCATCGACGATTTTTCGAATCCCTTTCTTCCTTGTTGTGAAGGCTGGAGGTGAGAAAACGAGAGCGACATTGTTATCGTGCAAACAATAGACTCTAAGGACAATGACTGCCACCTCCATCCTACCTCTGTAGAGAAAAAATAAGAAAATTTCGCAAGCGCCCGATAATAACTGGAATTTGAAAATAGTATATGCGCTGGATTTCATTTTTTTGATTTTGGTACACGCAGTGCAAATGATTGAACCACTAATGACCAAAAATTTATGTTCTCGAATTCGAAATCTGTCTCCGAGGTAGAAACTTTGGAAAAGGAACTGCACTTTCAGACTGAGAATTTTTCCAATAAACAATTTGGGGTATTTTTACCTATAACGTCATGAGAAAGTGCGAAACACACGTTGACTGATTAGACTGAGAAATATCAGGCTTGACAAATTGCTTCAAAAACTATTCCTTCTTGATCGCGGGAAAACCACAAGAAGAAAAACACTGATAGCGCGAGATTGTCGAGGATACATCCATCAAAATTTTACATTGTTGATTTCGAAAAGGTATACCATATTGGGAACGGAATGTCAAAGAATTTATTTTTATAATGTAAGATGAGAGAGTGATCGACGAGAACACGTGGCCGAAAGCAACCAGCTGCGGTCGCAGAAATTTTCACTGTGGGAATTTTCTCTACTAATTTTGCGAAGTTGTCAGTCGCTGCTACTTCTATCTTAAGGTTTATATTTGTAAGCATTAAGAAGCAGGTTTCTTCCTTCGCTGATTAAGCAGCTTTCAGAAAAGAAAAAGGTCATGCGAGTAACTCAAGGGGGGGGGGGGAGGAAGGGGAGGCAAGCAGGGAAAAGTTGATGCATTCCTATAGCAATCCAATCAACTTTTTATGTTCAATATACTCCCTGATTCGGTGATTGAAGAGTAACCAAGACTTGAACCTAATAATTGTACCAAACTACTAGGCTCAAGTCGATGGCGTCCAAAACTAGTTTCTCGAAACTTTCCAACCTTCTCCTCCACAACCACACGACTCCTTCGCAGAGCAAAAAATGAAGTGGAGAGATGCAGTGAAAGCATTTGAGCACGAATTACCTGCTTCATTCGATTATCGAGAGTAGCCGGAAAAATTGAGCTGGTGGCAAACAAAGGACAATGGTTTTTTCCGGTGTCAATTTATAAAAACGAACGTCATCTGTGGGCGACGTGCGAGTAGTAGAGCTACTTTACTCTCACTTGCCAATTTGTGTACGCTGGCTGTAGTCACGAGATGTACAGCCTTGCACTATAAACATCGGCACTAGTGTGTGTGTCTCGCGAGCGATAGAGCTGTTGATGGAAGTGCACATACTTAACCTATGGGATTTTCGATAAGTTAGAGTAATACGGCACGTCATTTTGACGGTGAGGCTTGAAGCTCCAAAGTCATCAAAAAGCATACTGAAGTCAAGCAGATGAGGGAGCATCAAAATTCAATCTACAGGCAATTGTCTCAGATTGTTCCCCGACTCGCATGGTTTTCGTCATTTCTAGGCTACTTCAGGGCCTTGGTTTGCGTATGAAGTTCAGACAACATGAAACCCATAATACCCCTTAAAATCCTTATCCTGAAACCTTTTATCAAATGTGAACCAGTCTTGGCGCTTGCATTGCCAGAAGCAAGCAGGAAGACAAATGCAGAGAATGCGTATCGATTGCGCTTGTCATGCCAAGACGCGTCAAGGAAGGACCGCTGGATGGGCGGGGTCGGTTGCTACGCCCACTGAAGGGGCGTGGTCGCCATTGGACTATGGAACAACCTGGACAGTATCCCCAACTCCTCGTTACCAATCAATCACCATAAAAAGCAATTAATCTTACCGTTCTCGTGCCGTCGCAATCGCTTCGCTGATGCGAACTTGTAATGCCTCCTGTTCTTGAATAGGACATTCGACGAAAGAGGACATCTCGACGGTTAGTAGGTGAGAAATGAGTCTAACCCCCGACTAGGCTACTGCCAAATATTTTTCGACTATGTTGTGAGATTAGATCTCGAATGTACTTCATATTTTCTTCTCTATTCACATGCTTTTGAGTGATGTTTGCCAAGACACTTGTCTCTACTGCGTTAGTACCAAATAATAATGACGTAATTTTACATTACAGAAACATTTTATTGCATTTACGCAATTATTGTGACACAATCCATTATTAAGCTTTCGGGGGGAACTAATGTGACTGGACGAAGTAGATTAAGAAGTTCACCTTCATCAAAAAGTTTTCATCAACTTAGATTCATCGGAAGTTTGATTAGATTTGAAAAAAACACGGTTCTTGAAACAGCTCACTATCGCGAAAACTTGAGAATAAAAAGTTCTGGCCCCTTCTCAAATATCTCACATTTCAAGTCAAAGAAGACCACAAGAGAACGTAATTGAACTTTAGGGGAGTAAAATAAAAAAATTTGATCAAGTCAAATGTTCTCCCTCCTTTCCTGCCCACTTATCCCTTTATCGTTTTCTTTTAATTGTTGAGACAGGATTTTATCAGTATCATGAGGCGTTATTAGAAAAAGTACATTTGCCTATTAAGATAAAGGATATAGAATGAGTTCTTATTAGCGAGGACTAGCTGGCTTACCCGGCTCCGCCGTATCCGGACCAAACTTGGCACACATACACTTCGGGCCCCGGCGGGTGTCACAGTCCACTTTTCGTTATCGATCGATGTCGATTTTACCGATTTTTATCGATTTTTTGGCAGAGTTCACCTTCAGGGCTAGGAGTTGGCACAGGGGGAAGTGAGCATGGGGATTCCGAATACAATATTAGTTTTCAGAATTATCGATTGCTTTTATTGATTTTATCGATTTTTTGGCAGAGTTCACCTACAGGGCTAGGAGTTGGCACAGGGGGGAAGTGAGCATGGGGATTCCGAATACAATATTAGTTTTCAGGATCGTCCATTACTTTTATCGATTTTATCGATCTTTTTGCAAAGTTTGACTTGCGGGGCTGGGAGTTTGCACAGAGGGTAATCGAGCATGCAGATTACGAATACAATATTAGTTTTCAAGATCGTCCATTACTTTTATCGATTTTATCGATTTTTTGAAAATTTGAGCTAGGGGGCTGGAATTTGGCACAGGGGTGTTCGAGCATGCTGATCACCCCCCTTGGGGATGATCAGCATGCGCGATTACCCCCCTGTGCCAACTCCCAGCCCCCTAGCTCAAACTTTGCAAAAAAATCGATAAAATCGATAAAAGTAATCGATAATCCTGAAAACCAATATTGTATTCGGAATCCCCATGCTCGATTACCCCCCTGTGCCAACTCCCAGCCCCGTAGGTGAACTCAGCAAAAAATCGATAAAAATCGATAAAATCGATATCGATCGATGACGAAAAGTAGCCTATGACACCCGCCGGGGCCCGTAGTGTATGTGTGCCAAGTTTGGTCCGGATCGGTTCAGAAATGGAATTTTCTATTCGGAACATACGTACATACATACATACATACAGACAGACATACAGACAGACATACAGACAGACATACAAACAGACATTCAGCTTTATATATAAGATTACTCATAGAGCAAACAGACGGTTCGAGGCAGACCATAGAACAGAATATATAGTAGAAAAAAAATTGTGGAATAGGCTTCATGAAAGAAATTTATCATGTTTGGGAAAGAAGAGCCACGCTTTGCTAGATGGAATGTATAAAATAGCAATCCCGCCAAAACAGAACTAAAACCTGTAGAGGTTCGAGTGCTCATTTTCATGCGGAAATGTTTCTGCTCGAATTTCGTGAATTTATGGAATGCACGCGTGTGGTGTGCTTGTAACAGTTGTCCTAACGGGCATATCAATGGCGACTCGAAAGCTATGCACTACGTGTGACGGGAAGACGCTGAGGGCTACATTGCTCCCATCTTTTTCTTATGTTCATATAGTTGTAAGTTCAAGTTTTCATGTGAAGGCTAGAACAAATTGGAAAAGAAAACAAAAATATGCAAAAATGGTTTTGACGCAGATCACCCTCTTCATATAAACAAAACGTCAAACACTGAATTGAGAATTGAGATTCAGCAGTGAATCACAATTAAGTGAAGAATTCGGGCATTGTAACGAGATTCGCAGCAAAACAAACGTTCTTCAAAGCTGTAAAACGTCTTGCGCAAATTTTGATTACGATTTCATCTCTCTAGATTTGCGAAAATTTATCCTCTAGTGATTGCATCGCGAGTCTTTCAAGAACCAGATGCAGCCGCTCCAATTCTTATATTGTTAAGCACGCCATTTCGTAATTGGTGGTAACCAGGCCAGTATTGGGATCTCCACCAATGACAGCGGTACGGTAAATGTTGAACATGACCTACAAGACTGTAGGCCTGAGTCACGCACCATTGGTCGGTCTCGGCAAAGCCATTCACCTCGAAAAGGGTCACTTTGACGATGTTCGAAGAATCGGTTCGCGCAAATAACCACCTTGAAATGTTTTTCTTTAAGAAAATCTTCGAATGAAGTTGGGAAGGTTATGACAGGCAATGAACCCAGGTAGTAGAATACACAAAAAAGTTTTTTCCGTTTTTTTTCAATCACACAAGTCAAATTAGAAAAGCATTTGGAGTTTCCTATGCGAAGTGCAGGCCTTACACCTACTATAGTTGCCTCAATTTCTTTCAAACAAATCAGGTAAGAAAAAAGGAAGCGTTTGTGATTTTCTGTATTATGATATGTCACATCTAGTTTTTTTTTTTGTTCAGAGGAAGGAAGGCTTCAGCAGGAGTGAGTTTTTGGT